ATATTTTCTATTATTCGAATTTGTATTTAATTTATTTTGAAAGTTTTCGAAATACTCTGATTTAGATTGATTATTATTTGTAAATTCGAAATATTGCTATTTTTTTTATAAATATTTTGCCGGTTTGATTCATTTGTATCTATTTCGATTTGTTTCGAATTATTTCGAAATATTTCGCAATTTATAGTATATTTTTATGCTATTTTTTCGTAATATTGCGTAATATATTTCATAATATTACGTTATATATTGCGCAATATTGCACAATTTTCTGCGCAATATTATATTCAGACCGTAATTATTGCGCAATATTTCGGGGTGTAATAACTTGCGTAAGTTTACGTTAGTATATTTTGCTAATGTATTTTTTGTAAAAAACACAATAGTGTTTAGTAAAAAACAGAGGACACACTTGGCTATAAGTCGGCAGTTGTTATTTAGAGGTAGTTCTTATATGCTATCTGCTAACTTCTTTAGAGTTTATCACTCACTGCTTGCATGGTACTTGTCATTTAGAAATAGTTTTTATATACTACTTGTCAACAAGCCCAGAGTTTATCACTCACCGAAAAAAGAGTATAGGTGTCTTACCTCTTTCTTAAAAGAAGGTTTAGGTGTTGTTGAGTCTTTGCATAGATATAACTACTTTCCTTGGGTGCAAGTGGTCTCTCCCTAGGTGTTTTTTGCTTGGCTAGTCTTCTCCAAAATTTTTGATAAAAAATAGATGATTTGGCTTACCCCCTCCAAAAGATCGGCATTGTTTATCTCCCAAATTCGGATGTATCCAGGAATACAACCACATGCCTTGTTTATCAGTAAATACGATACGTAACATAGTTTATAGATATGAGATCTCCACATGACTGGGATCAGGTCTCTGGTATAAGTGGCATCCGGAGGTAACCGGTAGTCGGATAATAAGTTGTTAAATTATATAGTTGAAATATACAAATGTTGCAGTTGTTATAAAATTTTTTCTTAAACCTGGCATGGGTTATAATAGTGCACTTTTCTTTTTTTGTTTTTTTTGTTCGTTTTGTGCTATTTCTTGATAGAAGTAGCTGCTATTTCTCACAGGAGATAGCTTTTTCTTGTTCAGCCTGTCAGGGCTTATCTCTTTGTTTTTTCTTTTTTTACATTCCATATCTCCCCTTTTTTTATTCCTTATTATTTTCCCCTTCTTGTTTTGTTTCTTTTTTGTATACAAACTTCATTTCTTCTTGATATACATTCTAGTATTGAGAATACAGAACATTATTTTTTTTTGCTCTCAGTAAAAAAGTAAGAATAGAGGGATAGGCTCTTGGTGGGCTGACAAGATCTTCTAACTTATATGTAGGTTGGTGTGACAAGTCGCTCTTGGGCACACTAGATGCAGCCGGAAGATGTTAGGCTTGCAATTTTTTACTAACATTATTCATTCTGTCCAAGTTTGTTTAAATAAAGTATTGTATTTAAGCTCTGGCAAGGCTGTCAAAGAGCTAAAAAAAAAATAAAAAATAAAATATATATATATATATATATATAAATATTTTATAAAAAACAGACTATAGCTATCTGGCTGGAGAATATCCTTGTTTTTTACACAATAAACAAATAATTCTTGAAATTCCCAAAAAAACAACAAAACCTCCGCTTCACCACAAACAATGATGAAAAATAATAAATTGCCAAATAAAGAAGGAACTGTGAAATTAACATATGGGCTACCATCAATAGAAATTAGGCAGATCGACATTTTTAAAAAAATCTATATCTCAACTTTCACAGCTCATATATCGATGAATTTTGATGCGATTTTGATAATTAAGTATTCAAATGAAAGCTTAGAACTTACTCTTTCTTTTGAATATTAAAAAATCATCAAACTAGCTTCCAAATTCATCGAGATAAGAGCTGTGAAAGTTGAGGAATCTATTTTTTTTAAAAATGTCCATCTGCCTGATTTCTATTGACGGCAACCCATATAATAAAAAATTAAAGCAATGAAGTTTTATCTGGGTCTATGACAAAGAAGTCTGCAAAAAACAAACAGGCTTTATTCACGTAGCATCTATAGACCCTGGAGTTCGAACCTTTCTTACTTGGTATTCTCCAAGTATTGGCCACGGAAACTTTGGAGATAGAGATATAAATCGTATTTTCCGATTAGGGGTCCGTTAAAGCCTTACATAATGATCTACAAATTGCATAAATTGCGTTCTTGATATCTTTATAAAGCAAAAAAACTAACCATAAACGAACCTGGCGTTAGCGTGCCCCCGATGGACTTATTCTTGATGATCTTATTTCACGTACGTACCACCGCAAGGAAACGTAATTCAATGAGATGCGCTCAATCCTGCTTAAGGAAAAGAATCCAAATCTCATACGTGAGGTAAAGATTTATATATTGTTATTTATTATTAAATTGTATATATAGTTTATTTAAAATATTCGACCAACATTTTATATTCTAACTCAAAACTACAGAAAGCGGCACTATTCCTCTGACGGTTCTACCACAAAATCTCGAAAACCATTTTCATAATACCGACTAAATTGGCCAGAATTATAACTAATGCCGGCTAACTTTGTCTGTATTAGATCCTTTCGGGATTTGTGGTAAACCCGTACAATCATAGCTACGCTAATTGGTTAATTATGGTTTACTATAGTTAGTCCCGATCAGGGCTAAAACGACACATAGTAAATACCGGCCATTCAATAAGTGTCGTTTTTGATTTAAAACTTTATTACTTGTAAATTTGATGTATCAAAAATGATACTTCAAACAATGGGCAGCGGCGTAGTAAATGGCCACCGTATACTATGTGTCGTTTTAGCCCTGGTCCTGATTCAATCCATCCGTGAGAAAATAATTACTACATGCTGCGGCAGTGTGTGAATTATATGCAAGAACATGCGTGCCAAGTGGCTCATTGCAGCATTAATATAAAACAATTAGGTAATATTTAAATTTTGTATCACCATTGCTGAATAAAAACGGCCCGATTTTTTTTTCTCTTTAAATTATACAAAATTTAATCCGGTGAAAGAAAACCTTTTTTTCATTAATCCGCTGGCGTTTTTTTTTCGCCACAAAAAAAATCGTATAATTAATTGAAAATAGATCAAATGCAATGTCTACTACGTCATTAGCATCACCTTTTCCTCCAGAAACTGTTATCAACTGTATTAATTTTCAAGAAACTGTTCAGGATACGCCTCATTTTCGCGCGAGCATTCGAAGATTTGAGGAGCATATAGATCATTTTGAAAAATGGTTGGATAGCTTTTTGAAAGCTTTAAAACAATATATTGAAGAAATTAATAGTGAGTTTTCAAATTAAATAAATTGATCTATCGATTAATATTCGAAACATATTTTGATGTTTTCATTATTGATTTAGAATTCAATGATGCAAGTAACACTTTGGCAAAACGTTCTTCCCTTACTGAAGATTCATGGCTAGGTATTTAATTTTGTCGTTGTCTGCATTTTTACTTTCTTTTTCCAGAACTCGATCAATTCTGATCTTTCTGAATGGCTTTTCAAGAATGCTCGCTAATTGTGATAAATTTATATTAAAATATGCAACCATACATAGATAGTGAGTTTACATTACCGTCTGTGAGGCTGTTTACAGATATATTTCAAACTACCTTTGCATTTAAAGCAAAATTGGTAAAAAAAGGCTTTATATATCATTTTTAACAAGAAATAATTTATATCGGCTAAAAATTTTTTATTTTTATTTTTTAATGTATGGGTCATATTGAAGGCCAATGATATTGATGAAAAGATTTTGCAACCAATAAATCAATTTATGAAAAATGATTTAAAGGAATTTAAGGTATTTTAAATTTTATAATATTTATCTGCATATCATTCATCTTAATTAATTATTTTTAATAGGAAATTCGCCGAGCATATGATAAATCACTTGATAAATATGATAACACATTAGCAAAGTATGCTTCTCAATCAAAGACCAAGGAAGCAAGCGCATTGCGAGAGGTTGGTTTTGATCTTTAACATTAATTATATTGAAATCAATAATAATAATATACTTTTTTTTACAGGATGCATTTCAACTATTTGAAATTCGGAAAACATATATAAAAACTGCATTAGATTATACTCTCAAAACTATCCAGTTCAAATCTGCACTAGATCACTTTCTTATGGATCAGGTGCTTTGTGGTTTATAAGTAATTTATATGTTATTAATTTCATACAAATTACTCATTTTATTCTTTGATAATTAGTTTTTGGGTGGCATATGTGCTCATCTAGAATTTCATGACTCATGTTTGATGATATACAAAGGTTCTGAAAATAGTCTTAATAGGTTAAAGGGATGGTTATGTGAGGTACCGCGATCTCATTAATTATTACATTAAAAAAATACATATATATAGCTTATGAAATCGATATGATTTTAGAGTAAAAAAACATGCGAAAATCAGATGCCGGTTCTACAAGATTTAAGAAAAAAATTAGAAGAGGTATAGTTTTTTATTCACATTTTAAGATTTCACAATTATTATTTAATCAATAAATAAATATGTGGGTCACATAGGATGCGATAAATATGACAAAGCCACGTCGTAAATTAACGAAATACACTGATCATGCGATACAACATACACAAAATTCATCGCAATCCAATCGACCCCCTTCTCCTTCCGTAAATCTTGCTGATATACCTCCAAAGCAAGGTTATCTTTTCATGAAACCGCTTAATGGAAAAAGTAATTGGACGAAAAAATACTTTTACTTGAAAAATGGAATTTTTTGGTGGGCTTCTGTTGGATCCGGAAAACACCGTTCTACAATCGAGGAGAGTGAAAGGATCGGTGTTTTACTTTGTGAAGTGAAAATAGATACATCGCAAGATCGAAGATTCTGCTTTGAAGTTGTATGTGGTGCTAAACAGTAAGTTATTTTCTTAAAAATCGTAATTGCTTTTGGCATTCTAATATTAACTTTTTTTTCATTATTATATCAAGAACTTCTTATGTTCTTCAAGCTGAAACTGAAACTGAGCTTAAAGATTGGATCAGTACTTTTGAAGCTGCAAAGCGTCATGCTTTCCGTTCATCAAATGATCTTGCAACATCCGCCGCCGCAGCTGTAAGTCCACATAAAGAGCTAGAAGACGAGCAAAATCAGCCTACAACAGATGAAGAACAACATAATGACGATGTAGTATCAAAATCTGGTGGCGAAGGTTCCCAACCTGAAGCATCAGATACAAAATCAATTATTCCTTCTCTATCATCATCATCTCATTCCAGTGATTTAAGGCAAAATTCTCTAAATGTCCCAAATATTACCAACAGAAAGAGATCATCATCTATACCTAATCCTCCAAAACCGCCATTAGTTTCTAATTATAGTAGTCCATCCAAGATACCTGGAACTCATTTAAATCCCAATAATACCGGAAATTTAGTTGCTCCGTTAGCATCACAAGGATTTGTTAATGAAAAAAACACAAATTCTGGTCAACATAATTTCTGGGGAACTTTACAACAGGGTTTTATGCCCGCAATGAATTTGCTTATCAATACAGTTAATTCAACGGAAGGTGAAGAAGAAGGAGATGAAACAAACGGGCGAAAGAGATCATCATCTTTTAGAAGCAAAGGTGGTAGATCTCGTAGTGGAAGTGGGCCTGTTGGATTCGGCGCTGATGGGTAAATTATGGCTTTATATCGTTAATTTTTCCAAAGAATAAATGTTTAGAAATTCATGCTTCGCTACTACCTAAATAGGTCTATAGCAGTATATCCTCAGATTTTGTTCTTACATAATATGCAGCTCCATTTTTTATTTCCAAACTCAACAGAGAGAGAATTTGTACTGGATGGTAAGATTCATTTTGACAATTTATATGATCCTATGCATATTAACAATGACTAATTTTTTAAATTTTAAATATTTATAGTATACAACTGTGCTTGGAAAAGAGACAATGTATTATTAAAAGGGCGTGTATATATTACTCAAGATAATATTTATTTTTATTCTATAGTAATGAGCACGGTTAATATGGTAAGTAAACTAAAATTCTCACATATATCATTTTTTTATTATTCTAAAAATATGTTCATTAATTTTTTGTAGTTTTTCATGTCATGGCAAGATATAAAATCAATTACTCAAGAGACTACAAATATCCTACAGACTATTGAATTTTCAAATGAGAATGAAAGTCAAAAGGTGATATTCTATGTCTTTTTTTTTTCTTTTTGAAACACGAAGTTATGTATCTGAACCAATGCTTTGTATGATACCAGTATGTCTTACAAACTTTTATGGAATCGAGTAATGAATTGTACGATAAAGCACATCTAATTTGGAAACTTGCTACCAGCGAAAAGGTAAATTTTTGTGACAATTACAAGTTTGAAATTACCATTACCATTACCATTCGTCATTATATTAAAATCTCAATATTTCAATATGCCTTTAATAATTATCAAAAGTCATCAACGTTGCAAGAGATGTATGATGCAGTGTGGAAAGATCACACACTACTACATTCTAAAGAATCTGGGGAAGTTTTAAGTGACAAGGATGCAGAGTTTCATAAAGAAGATTTTTCTATAAATCTTGAAACACCGCCAGAAAAGGATGCCCAAGATTTAAATGACCATTCTGATAGTAAAAAAGCATTAGACGCAGTTGAAAGGAAAGATGATCAAGCGAAAAGTGATAGGTACTACATACCTTTATTTAGTTGAAAGTTGTTTTTTTTTATTGTTGCATTTGATATGAATTATGTATGTTCCATTAGTGATAAAGTGAATAATACTCCACCTCCGGCTTCAACTGTTTCTAAACCACAAGAAGGCAGTACAAGCCCAAATTCCATTACAAACAGTTCTCCAATACGGACAACACATGGAGGACATGCTTCAACTCTTCGCCGCCGTGCTCATCGTGTACCCAAACGTAAACCTCCTACGAGTGACGATAATTCAGTACCTGGAGGTTCATCATCCACTTCTCTAAATAATGAGGAGAAAGGAAAGCTCTTCATTATTATTTCAACAATCGTCGAAATCGTGTCCTCTTTATCATTTAATACATTGTTTGGAACGATCCTGATTTTGTCATTGGCACTGAATATCTACATATGGTTCAGTACCGGGCAATTAATTGATTCAACATCAACAATTCAAGCAACTTATGAATCTAATCCTATAACTCCAGCAGTATATCTTCGAGATTTGGAAGAGCATATCCTGAATAAAAGTGTTCATGTAATAAATGGAATCGATCTTACCAGGCAATTATTTTAACAAATAATATTTAGATAACAAAGAATCTTAATATTATTTTTTTTATTTTTTTTTTTTTACGATTTAGCTAACAGATCAGTTTACTTTTATGTTAGTTATAAACAATTTTTAGACACACGGATGCAACATCCACCATATCCATGGCTACTTTATTCGAATCGTCGATTATCCGAGGAAATAATAATCTCAAGAAAAAAGGTAGCAATGTTACGATATGATCTATTACTTGCATTCAGGAATTTAAATTTGGTTGATAAAAGATTATTAGAGAGTGAATACATTAATTGGCTATTAGATGAAAAAGCTAAGTGTAATAAAGCGAGATGGTTGTTGTTAAAAGACGATTTAATTTATGAAGATGAGGATACTGTAGAGGAAGATGACTGTATTAATTGTGTTAATTCAAGCACTATTATTGAACAAGCTAATAGTAATGGAACAAATATGAAAGATGAAAGAAAATATAGTTCAGAGTATAAAGCTATATCAAAATACTGTGGAGACGTCAAGAAGCAATTGGATGTGATGCCTACAACATTTTAGGAATTTTATATATGCAGTTTATAATTCAACTCTTTTATGTTACATATTTCTGTAATTTGAATATGTATATATATTCTTTTTTAGTATATAAGGATGGACTTTGATATATAGTCAATTATAGTTAAATAGCTACATATAAAAGTAATCATTGTGTGATTATGACGATAGCGATAATAATAAATTATAGATACAGTAATTTGAAATGAATAATTTTTTTAATGTGGCAGCTGATACTGAAATTTGTACAAAGCCCAAATTTTAAAAGTGAAAATGAGTTTTTTTAAAATATATAAAATAAAGCTATAAGAAAAAAATTTAATTAATAATTTATATAAGAATGATAGTATTATTATATTATAACCATAGCGCAATTTACTGTTTTTTATATAGTTTTGAAAGTTTTTTTTTCGTTTTTATTATTAAAAAAAAATCTATATAATACAAAATTTAAAATACAGTATCTTATATTATTAAACCAATTTTAATAATTTTTTTACACTACTGTATATAAAAAAAATAGTTAGCTATAAAAGAAATGAAAATTTTATAATTATAATAAATTTAATGGTAATTTGCATATTTGATATATAAAATACTATTTTAGCAATTAAGTAATACTGTATACGATTTTTAGTACTAGTAATTTGAAATAGAAGCAATAATACTTTTTTTAGCAAATTTAAGATTTACTAAACTAGAAAAAAATATTAGCTATATTTTTTTTGAAGCTAGAAGAATCATTAGTTAGTTAAGTTTTATAATTTTTGAACTTAATATTATAGTCTTTGTATTATATTATGTTGCAAAACTTTTTGCTAATAATATTTATAATTTTTTATACAAATAAGAAACATTTTGGATGTTCTATAGAATAGGTAGGCAAACTTCGCAAACTCTGCAACTCCGCCAAGTATCTATTGATGATTACTAATTATTAGCGAAGCCTATTTCTTATATTGCCCACCTATTCTATAAAACATCCCATTATATAGAAATCTACAAAATTAAGGCTTTTTTTGCAAATAAATTTAAATTTCTTGCTAACAAATAAAAATTTTCTAAATTTCTTTTTTATTTTTGCTTTTTAATACCTAATCAAGGAATATACAAGAGCTGGTTGGTTATTTGTATAGCTAAATAATATAAAAAATTTCAAAGTTATTTTAACAATTGCCAAGTCAAATTTAATGAACTTCTTTATTTAAATTCTATAAATTAGTAGAATTTAAATAAAGAAAAGTTTATTAAATTTGGTCTGATAACTGTTGAGATATAACTTTATTAGCTATGCTTGTTTTTTTTTTTTTTTTAAATTCGGCAGTCATGCTTTAACTTTATTAGACTTTGTACGAACCCTATAGACTCGTAAAATTTTACACTAAGTTGC